ATTTGAGGTTGCTTGCATTTAAAATAATATGATAGTTTTTCTTGAAATAAGAATAACTTTACCCTTGCACCTAACATTGAAATTTTGTGATTTTTTGATGACATTTGTCCATGAATAGAATTCAACAAAAAAATCTCTCATTACTCATACCATTTGTTACAATAATGAATAGTATAACTATAACTAGCCGTTAATTGATTGATTTAATTGGTGCAAGCGTGGATTTGTGTCGAGGTGACTCGATAAAAAATCACATCACAAAGACCAACGTCCAAGAAGATTCAAACCAAACGTTTACACCTATCGTTTCAGTCACGCAATATTTGAAAAGCCAGATTAGGTCAAGTTTAACAATAATTGTTACATTTGTTAAGTGGCTTGATAATAACAATAATAATTATTGTGGGAGGAAAGGTTAAGGTGCTCATAATCTAATAATAGTAAAATTTGTCATATAACTTAAGTTTTATATAAATCTTAAAATCAGAAATGAATTTGTCATCAAATGGGGTTTTAGAAATATATTAACATGAAAATTTGACTTACAACCCATTACATTTTGTTTGTAAACAGAGCACAATATGCGGCTATTTTAATTTTGCGCATTACAGTTTTTCAAACTGGTTTTAGGTATATAAATACTTCATTTATATTGGTAAATAAAATATATACGCATGTGTTTACAATTATTTAAAATCAGCACGTGACATATGTTTACGTTTTACCTTTTTAATTAATTCAATTAGTAATGTGTGTATATGATAAAACATCTGATTCATAGTAGGTACACACCTTTTCTGGGTACTTAGTATATGCATAAGGAAAGAAATTGTTTACAAAAATTTAGTATTTTTTTATAAAAAATAATTTGTACAAAAATTATTGGGGAAATTGAATGAGTAAATTGTATAAACAAGGTAAAGGAACTTATGAAAGTTAATATGACACAATGAATCACATCAAGTCAAATAACAGTTTTACGGAAATGAAATACCGTATAAAGTATAAGTAAACGAACTTGATGTGTTTGTTTATTAAGTTGGTAGCTTAAGCCTGTTTGATTTAGTATTTTTAGCATTTAAATCATTCGACTTAAAATAGGTAGATTTTGTCTAAAACAATTTTTCATATTTGTAATAGATGGCGCTGTAATAAAAAAAATCAATTGTGTTCGATTTTTCTTCTGTATACGATTCTCCAATAATTTTTGAATAAAATACTTGTTTTTATTTTTTAAATTTATTTATTTATTTCGTTTTAATATTCTGCTAACACTGCTCTGGGATATTCCCAAATCTCTAGATAATTCTCGTGTGCTTGCATGAGGATTAGCGGCCGTAGCTGCTAACACATTAATTTCATTATTTCCACCTGTGACTGTTGCTCGACGAACTCTTTTTTTCGGTTGAACACTCCCGTTTGTAGTAAACTGCTCGACTGTACGGTGAAATGAAGTAGGTGATCGAATTTTATCCGGAAAACGCTGAGCGTAGATATTAACAGCATCATCAAGATTCCTGCCTGCTTCTCCATAAATCAAAATCATTTCTATTTTTTCTTCCACTGTTAAAAAATCCATTATGAACTGAAAGGAGGTCTTTTTGTTTGCAAATTAATCTTCGAACTAAATTGATTAAATAATGCTAAACTATGTATAAATAGTTTCTTTATACCTCAATAATAATTATTATTTATAACTAAATACCATTTTTTATACCTCAATAATTATTAGGAAAATGGTACAATAATCCATGAAATAATGTATAAAACTTAAACCAAAGGAAACCTAAATATTAGTTAAAAAATCGTGGGTAATTAAAAAAAATCAAATTTAATTTAATAAGATAATTATTACCAACAAAGTGATATTTTTATAGAAAAATTATTGCAGAATCTTTTAAGAAGAAAAATCGAACAAAATTTTTTTTTCATTACAGCGCCATCTATTACAAAAATGAAAAAATGTTTTAGACAAAATCTACCTATTTTTACCAACCAATTTTGGTTCTAAAATTTTTTTGTTTTTGTTCTTTCATATAAATTTTTAGATTGGGTACAATAACGATTATAATTATAATTAAAAAAGGAAAAGCTCCAATGATCTTAATCAAACATAGAGAACATTTTCTAATAAAACGACTCCCCAAAGACACTACAAGTGTTTCGTACCCCTGTTTCGTGATACAGTTGAAATGCCCATACTAAACTTGTCAGAAGGAGGGTAGAGAAGTTTTATTTATTGATCTGTGGACCCATGCACGGGAAATTTCGATGGTCCCTTCCTGCATGAGACAATTATTGCCATGGATTAAGGACAGGGGAGGGGGTGCTGACTCGGAATAATCGCAATATCATTTCACCGGATTAATCCGCAAAATATTTCTGGAGGGTGGGTTTATTTGTATTTTGATGTTTGTAATCATGGAACGAATCGGGACGATAGAATGCAGTAGGTAGGTAAATATAAAAAGTATTTTTGTTATTTTAAAAACCAAAACAAAATACTTTGTTAGTAGTTTTTGCGTGTTGTTTCATTTATAAGTATTAAATCAAAATACACGTTTAGCTACATATGTAAACAATATAATAAATAACATGTTCTTCGGAAAAATTGCTAAAAGCTATTAGTTTCGGAAAAATTAATTATTAAGAGACTTTTTAATTGGGTTTTGATAAAATTAAAAAGTTTCATTTCAAGGTCATACTTTTCAGTTTATCATTGTTTTTTGTTATTCTACAAATAACAGCATAGTTTTTACTGTTAAAAATGTTTGCAAAATTACTACATTTCTACTAAGCAGTTGCATAATAAAATTACAAAATATTGTATTGTATTGCAATTTTAATACGCATTTGTTGTAATATTACATTTTGTTATAGCCAAAGTACTAAACAATGTTTTTGTTTTTGTCATACTTATAGTAATTTTACAATTTTGTATTATAGAATTGAATTTGAAATTTTGTAAAATTATATTCGGAATTTAATTTTACCAAGATAACCAATAAAATTACTAACTAAAATTTGCTATATAAATTACAATAAGTGTTTGGAAATATACAAACCATTATTTATTTTATACAACTTCTTTTTGCAAAACAAAGGATGAGTAAAATTACAAATCAGTATATACCAAAAAAAAATTATAATACAATTTGAGTAATCTTCCAAGACATGTTGGGAAATCTACTAAGATAAGTTGTAATTTTACAATCTATATGTATAAATCCTACACGCATTGTAATTTTACTAAACAGTTTGACAGTTTCTAATAAGAAGCATCTCAGATTTACAAACGTTGTTTATAATTTGATTTCCTATAATGTTATGTAAAACGCATATTGCGGCAATCACGTGATGTTCTTACATCTCGCCTCGGTTGACTTAGGTGGACGGTATATAAGCTCAGGTGTCTTTCGTTTTTGGTGTGTTCCAATGCACCAAATTGCCCGACATCGATAAGACCCAAAATAGGTCTATCTGTCTAGCTGTCTGTCGGTATTTGAAGTTGGTGGAACGCACTTAAAACAAAAACTCTGGCGAGGTGAAGGTTCAATTTTTTTTATCTTTACAGTAATGGGTCAAGAAAGTTTCTTGAAGAAACTAAGTTTTTTTTTCGTAGTATAATTACAATACCATCATTCGTAAATTTCTTAATATTTTTAGTGTAATTTATTGTACAAAATAACAATATTTGTATTGTAATATTGCGAAACGAATTTTCTTCAGTTCAGTAAAATTGTAAAATATATTTTGTAATTTTCTTAAACTGAGTTTAAATAAATTGTGTAGTATAGTTATAACTATACCTACTAGACTGGACCAAAAAAATCAACTTTTTTTTTTTGAAAAATATATCGAAAATATGGTTTGGGGTGACAAAAAAAAATTATTGTGAAAGTTTGGGTCTATAATATTAATATTAAGAGGTCTATCATCGCAATTTTATTTTTTTTTCCTCAGCAAGGTTTTGTCTCAGAACTCCCAAACCATTGAGTTTAACAAAATTGACTCGAAAATATTTTTTTTAAGAAAGTTAAATTCTCTACAAAAAAGGTTCAAGTGAAATTTTTCGTCAGATGAATCATTTCCTTAAAATCATGCCTTAAAAATTGGTATAGTTTTACATTTTGATCTTTTAAATTGGAATTTTGTAATTCATGTAAAAATCAGTACCCATAAAAAACCGATAAATATTCTTATGGAAAATCAAATTCTTTACAAAAAAAGCCTCTCAACATTTTTGGCTAAATTCACTCAATCAAAAGTTATTCAAGGTTAAAATTTCGTTTTGACTTCAAATTTAACCTTGAATAACTTTTGATGGAGTGAATTTAGCCAAAAATGATTTTTTTGTAGAGCATTTGATTTCCCATAAGAATATTTATCGGTTTTTTTCCGGGTACTGATTTTTACTTGAATTACAAAATTCCAGTTAAAAGATCAAATTGTAAAACGATATAAATTTTTAAGGCATGATTGTAAGAAAACGGTTCATCTGACGGGAAATTCCAATCAAACCTTTTTTATAGAGCATTCAATTTTCTTCAAAAAATATTCAAATTGTCAAATTTGTTAAACTCAATTTTTTTTTGTCACCCCAAACAATATTTTCGATATACTTTACAAAAAAGAAATAGTCGATTTTTTTGGCCCAGTCTAATAATTACAATAGGTACCTACACCATTTTAAAATTACTAAACATATAGTAATGTAATATGTGTTATGGTGGATTAAAATTTATATAAATTTTGCAATATATTGCAAAATGCACTTCCTTCATAAATTTATATACCTAGCATTGAATAGTGAGTAAGGTGGGATGTTTCCACCTACTGTTCATTACATTTCCCGTTAAAGAGGAAACCACAAAACATTGTTACCAATTTACTAAGAAAAATATAATATGCAGAAAATTAAACAAGCGTACATTTGGATGGATGGATACAAATTCCTGTATTTAGTCAGGTTTTGATAATTTTTTTTCAAAAAGTCTCACCTCTTGCTTTCCATTGTTGAAACTTGTGATAAATCAGACAACTGCACATGAAGCACACACAACTGAGTACCATTAAGGTTAAAACTATCCCGACCCAAACGTCGGCCAAAAACTGTTCGTATTCCGGGTCTGTTACGGCACTGACTGCAGTGTCCCCCGCGGGGGCTATCAAAATATTCGTGTTATTAAAATCGATGGCATCGAAGTCGACCTGTGCAGGCCGAAACGTCAACATCAACCCGTCATCCATCTCTATCATCGACACCATCACTCACAAAAAAATTATCACTGTGGTTAAGGATTTTCAACCCCTTTAAGTCGTACGAGAAAATCTTCTACGTTGCTACGCGACGATTGTCCAGTGTTTGCCGGCTACCTGTGACTTCAGCCGATTTCGCTGCTGCCAAACTCCCCACCACAATCAAGCAACACGTGCTTTTACGTTACAGTGTTGCCGGATTGCGCGGGAATCCCAGATTCAGAGAAATATTTGAAAATATTTGAAATTTTTTATTAGTGTTATTTTTGATCGCTGATATCTTTGAAACGATTGATCTGAAGAACTTTTACCTTCAAATGTTTTTTGTAGAGCGTGAATTTGTCTATAAAACCTCTCGCTTGGGTGTTGCGAAAACAAACCATTCCAAAGTTATAAGAATTCAAAATTAAAAAAATAAAAATTCCCGTAATATTGAAATGGAAAAACAACAAATGAATTGAGGCAAACCTTAATATTAATATTAAGGGCTCAGATAGGCGCCAACATTTTTGTTTTTTAATGTACTATTAATGTACCTACTATTAATTAATTAATTTTTCAACACCATTGGAAAAAAATAATTGTTTTTTTTAAACACCCTAATGTATATATTGTGCAGGACTATTAACAAGTAAAATATCAATAATAAATATTACTGTCAATTTGACAGTATTTAATTAAGGTCTTCAGCAGAAGTACCATTTTTTAAATACTAAAAATACTACATCACTGGCATAAGCTACCAACTTAATAAAAAAACACGAGTCCAAAAAAATTGTGTGAGTCTTATAGCATATATGGCAACACTGCTTCTTCTACTATTACTTTTACCTATACTATAGACAATTCATAGAACAAAGATAAGAGTTCAAAGTATAAAAATGATTCATAAAAGCAAGTAAGCAGATTATTTAATCGGGATTTTGCTAATCATCAACATTTTTTTCCTTTTCTTTATATTAAGATGAACTTTGGACTACGTGAGATTTACCACGTATAAGTTAATGGTGGACAAACAGTAGACAACTTACCTACTACCGATTTGACATTTGCATTCTTTACTACCGCTACTTGTTCCTGGCACTACCAAATATATTTGGTAAAAATAAGTAAGTTGTTTAAAAAAATATTTCCAAGCATTGGTTAAATGCTGTGGTGAAATTACTAGAAAGTTACTAAACCAAAATTTGTCTAAAAAATAACTGGCCTTAACCATTTTCAAAAAACGTATTAATCCAAATACAGTTTTAAAATACCTACCTAACATAAAATAAATTATTAAATTAGGATGATTTCAATGAAACCGTTATCATAGTTAGTAATTGAGAATGGTGTAAAAAACCTTTATTAAAACTGTAAAAATGAATGGGTGATGTTGCAATACAATAAAGCAATTTTTTAAAATTTAATTGGTTTATTATTTACATGGCTATCTACCACTGAACTAGGTTTAGTTGAGCAAGTTTACATGGTAATAATTTTTTGTGTTTACGAACAAAATAAAGAAATCGTTGATTACACTAGTTTACAGCCATTTTACCCACCATGTCTTACTATGATTTTCTTGTGTAGTTTGGCTAACTTGTTTTTTTGTAAAAATGTTAGCTTCACGAAAAAAAATTAATCTGGAGTTATCTGTTTGAATTTTCAACCTCAATTTTTGCCATAAAAACGAATTTTTTATGTTATTAAAATCGCTAGCGTCAAAATACTTATCCGATATCAAAAGTATGTAAAAGAAAGTTTTAGAGGGCTCAAATACCTTCAATTAAAGGGCTTGTTTAACCAAATCGATCGATTAGATTTCAAGCTATACTCAAAAACGTCAAAACACCTCCGAAATATTAAAAAAAAACAATTGAAAATTCAAACTTGACATTTTCTTTTTCTGTTGAAAGCAGTTTCGAAAATTTAAGTACATCGTTATGTTGGAAAATTAACCTTGATTTCAAGCAACAAAATTTCTATGTTTACTTATATTTCGGTGAAGTTTATTTTTTTCTTCCGTTTTCAATCATTTAAAACTGAAAAATAATTATAATTATATAATTATAATTGATTGTAAAAAATACGGTGATGTCGAAAGCTGGAAAACTTTCTTAAATGGCAAAAAATCCCAACAAAGAGTGTTTTGATAGTTGCTCAGCTTATCCTTAACCTTCACAAGACCATAGATTTTTTACAGATAATTCAATCTATTTTCTTGTAATACGAGTAGCTAGGTACATAAAGACCCAGGTAAATTTGCTAATAGAAATAGGAGATTATAATAAACTAAAATGGGATTTATAGTTATTATTTATATATTGAATTTATGAAAACATCTGTTTTCTTAATAATACTGTACTATTCTTTCTATGGTTCCAAAGTTATAGCAAAGAACTTTTTACCATGTGGCATTGCCTTGAGTCTATTTACCACGCATTCAATATATACATAATAATATCTTTTTTATTTAATAAAATAGATTAGTATCATTTAAAGTAGGTATAAAAAACCTTTGAAAACCGAAATTGTGTAATACCACATAAACAATGCAAAAAAATGACATTGGCAATTATATTATAAACCAATTGTCACGGTTTTTGCGCCAAGAATAAAGACAGACAATTGTCACACATTCATGGGCAAGTTGCAATAATTTTTGCGCAAACATATTAAATTAATTTTTACGAAAATATACGTATAAATTTGAGATAAAGAAATATTAGAAACAAACTCTTTTAACAACAAGTTTGACATCTGTCAGGCCATTCTAACCTCACTTTTAGGATCAATGATAATGTGGCAAAAAAAGTTAAATTTAATATTTTTTCATCGAAATGAATAGTGTAAAAAATTAATAATGAAATTTTTAAGTAAGTGAGTGGCTAGGTCACTGTGTTCTTATTTTAACAGTAATTGTCTAGGAAAGCACGCCAAGTATTGTTAAAGAATTGCACAATATCAGCTTTTCTTTTCCCATATGATCGTTAAATATATAATTACGTTAAATAATTAGAAACTTGACATTAACCAAATTCCCTGTTCCTATTCACATTATTCTATTGTGATTGAAAGGATTTTTACTTTTTTATGACAATTTTATGTTTAATTGATTTTTTTTTATAATTTATTAGAGTTTTTGGGGTCTTGATAATTTACGATTAGTTTTGTCTAGATTAAAAAAATTGGATCAAGGAAAAAAATACTATGATTTTGCAATCATTAATTATTCTGTGACTCAGCTTTGCATGTTTTATAGTTTATTCTATTATAGTAAATCTATTTCTTAATTTTGCTGACTAATAAATATTATATTATGTATCAAGTTTGATTTTATACACGAAATTAATGAGTGTATAGAAAAGTTTACAAACGAGGTGCATACTATACTTTTTCTACGACAAATACTTATTATTATCATAAAATGATTTAAATCAAAAATTTGTAGGTATAGAGCGCCATCTATGAAACAATAGGGGAATCTGTGTGTCACCGTCAAATGTCAAATTTTTATATTTTATAAACACAATTATAAATGTTATAAATCGAAATGTATTTCTTGAAAATTGACAGTTTTTCACAGTGAAAGTAAAGGAAATGTTTTATGAGCACTTTACAGTGGAGTCCGTGCCCGAATTTAAGTTATAGTTTACTGCCTGCGAAATTAAAAGGTCAGTACAATGTTCATATAAACTTTTCAAATATTGGCGTTGAGAAACTATTTAATACTTTTGTATTGAGATATTTATAAAATAATTTTCACATTTAGTATTATTTTACAAGGCAATTTATTTTAACGATTGTATGACATTTGACAACTGTCAACTAACTTAAAACTAACTTTAGCCCTTGACTAAAAACCTGTTGATAGCTTCAGCCCGTGACTAAAGCGCCTTAAAGCCACAACTTGTCAATGTGCATTTAAAAGGTCATGGAAACATGTACGATAAAGGGCGTTTTAAAGGTGGGAGTAGAAAAAATATTTTATATTAAAATATTGTCTACAATTATTAATAATTCTGACAACAAGAGTTAAAAATAAAATAATAAATTTTAGGATATAATAGATTCAATCTATTAGATTGTCAGTTATAAAATTTAAATTTTGTGCGGTATATATCTTTAATATTATCGATGTGATACACGTTTAACTATGCAGTTCCAGGCATTTCATTGGTTCTAATATTAATGAATGTATCATTGTTATATTACAGCATCAAAAATCGTAGAAAATAATAAAAATTAATAGGAAAAATACAATATTTAACAGAAACAATAAATACGTTTCTAAAGTCATAAAAGTAATATAATGTTGCGTAAGTTTGTGAAAATTCAAGCTATGCCGCAGGCAAAATTAATAATAAAACAATATTTTTTTATGGAGGTTTCAAGTAGGTATAATTTTTAATTGCAAATTATTATTTTATAATAATCTCAATTATGTTGTATAAATGAATTAGTTTGCCATATATTCCAAGGTACAAGGACAAATGGTTTTACAGGCGGGAATTTTCATTACCGATGAACTTTACAAAAAAATAAATAAATCGATTAAAATGACGCAGAGTTCTAATAAATCGTGGGAATTTTATTTATTAGTTGATGGCATTTAAAATTTCCAAATTACAAGGAAAAATATTTGTTATTAAGTTAAATCAACTATAGGCAACCCAGTATGCACCACCTGTTGATCATTCACACGCAGAAATAAAAACACTGTATTTCACAATCTAAAAACGTTTATTTCTACATTTTTTTTATTTAATTCTCACTTATTACATCTGGTAAAGGTGAAGTTGCTTTATCAGCACCTTCAACTGTTTCACCATCGATTTCTTCATTTTGTGCATTACCATCCTCTTGATCTTCATCTTCCTCTTCACCGCTGTCGTGTTCCTCCACGTCACCTTCTTCACCTATTAGGGTGTCATCTTCAGGGGCTTTCTCGGCATCAAGTGCTTCTGGAGGTGCTTCGCCTAGGTAGGTAAATAAAAAAATATTTCTGAAGAATCGTTGTGTTTATGTTACCTTCAGGAGGTGGTTGGGCTTCCCCGTTGGTATTTTCCGCTACTGCAGACGCCTTTTTGCCCTTCTTGCGGGCTTTCTTCTTAATTTCTTCCTTGATTTTGACGGGGATGTTGTAGCCGAGCGGGAAGAATATTTTCGCTTCTTCTTCACCTTCTACGGCGTCTTTGCTTTTGTGGCTTGGGTTTAACTCGAGGAATTCCAACAAGCACTCGTAATCGGTTTTGGATAACTGTATGACGAGCTTTTCATCGCTGAAATACGATCGTATTAAAGTAATCGACATTGGGGGAATATAACGTACTATGTTGGAGGGGTGGGTTTTGTTTCAAAATCGTTTAGAGTTTTGGATATCAATTCACCCTCCCCAGGTTTATCGGATGTGAAAAAACCCAACGCCAAAACCTGCCCTGGGTATTTTTCTGACAACTTTATCACATCTCTGGCTTTATAAGCGTCATAACCGAAGATGAGATGTGGAGGTACCGGGATTTCTTCTGGTAGCTTAAACGGAGCCGTCATTTGAGGGAAGAGAATTTTTAGAGCTAAACCTTGAATAATACACAATTTTAATCGACTTTTTTTTTAAATTTGTACGTTTTACCTCTTGTCAGTGAGTCTGGAGGCGCCCATATCCCCATCAAGGGCTCCTCCTCTTCGTTCGCAGACTTCACCAGCAATTTTTGAGAAGCCGACCTTTCGCTACCAGGTGGTTCCCGCATATTCCCATAGACCATTTGTAATACAACATCGTCTATGGAACCTGGTAAATCAGCGGTTCTTTTGAAGAGAATTCCCCATGATATCCCATCTAGAATGTCTTGTATGGTTTTTTCCGGCCATTCATCTTCAGTGAAGAAGAGCAGCTCGTCTATTTGCTCTCTGGTGAGACGATGCTATGTAAAATAATGGATATATATTACGATCCTTGATACCTATAAAAGTGTGGTTTCTTCTTTAATAAAACAAATGGGAATCGTAAATATAACTTTATTAAAATAACAATTGAACAGTATGGGTATTTTTTCTATGCATCCTCTTCTTCTTGTGCTTCTGGAGGTGGAGGTGCTTCTGGTGCTGGAGCTTCTTCTGGAGGTGGAGGAGCTGCCTCTGGAGGTGGTGGAGCTTCTTCTGGAGGCGGTGGAGCTTCTTCTGGAGGTGGTGGAGCTTCTTCTGGAGGTGGTGGAGCTACCTCTGGAGCTGGTGGCGCTTCTTCTGGAGGTGGTGCTGCTTCTGGAGGTGGTGCTGCCTCTGGGGGTGGTGCTGCTTCTGGGGGTGGTGCTGCTTCTGGAGGTGGTGGTGCTACTTCTGGTGGTGGCGGTGCTACTTCTGGTGGTGGAGGTGCTTCTTCAGTTTCAGCTGCAGTTGGTTCGTCAGCAGCGTCAATAGCAGCATTTGCTGTATCAACAACTCCGTAATCAATTTCGAAGAAGCTGATTGCATCTTGACCCTCCTCCTCGTCTTCATCTTCATCCTCGCTTCCTTCAGCATCTTCGTATCCACCTTCATCTTTAAAATTACCAACAAAAAAATAAAAAATGAATGTAGAAATGGGCTGAAACTGAGGAACCTTCTTCGTCTTCGTCTTCCCCTTCGTCTGCGTCATCCGGTTCATCGTAAACGCTGGCTTCGCCGTCGTCTTCTTCTTCTTCTTCCTCGGCTTCCGCGACTTCCTTCTTCTTCTTTTTCTTCTTCTTCTTGCCGACTTCCTCCGGTTCTTCGGGTTTGTCTTCGATGTCCGGTTCGTCGTAATCTTCTCCGAACACCTTTCGGCACTCGCGTTTGCCTTCGTCCGCGTTCGGCGACATGTAAAGCGGGCCTAGCTGCGCGAACTCGAACACGCACGCGCTCACCTTCTTGGAGACCTGCAGGACGATCTTCTCGCTGCTGCAATTGGAAATTTACGATGCGGTGGAGAGTTTGGTGAAATAAAAGGTTTTACAATGTTCTCTGGACGCCTGGCAGTTCCAGTTTCTTGAAGCTCTTCGCTATCAGCTTCGTTTCCTCCAAGTTCTCTTCGTCGAACAAACCGTACCGCATAATTTCCTTGGGGTACTGCTGCATAACGTTGAAAACTTCCTCCTTTTTGGTCATCAGATCGAACACAACGGCGACGTGATCGGGATCTGGTTGGGGCGGGGCAATCAAACAATCTTGGCAATATTTCGAGAAGAAAATCTGTATATTTTTAACAAGCAATAATTTAACAATAGATCAGTATAACAGTTGAGAACCTTAAGGCACGTAGAGCGAACTTTATCGGTGGGAGGCACCCAAACCCCCATCAAATCGTTTTCGCCTATCTCCAAGGCTTCCGGGGGTGGCGGTGGTGGGGGCGCTTCCTCCGGAACTTCCTCTTCTTTTTCCGGTTCCTCTTCAGGTTCCTCTTCTTTCTCTTGCCCTATGCCCTCATCCTCCTCCGACCCTTCTTCCCGTTCTTCCGATCCCTCCTCTTCTTCATCCTCGTCTTCTTCTTTTTTGGCGGGCGGTGGCGGCGGGGGTACATCCGCTACCACCTCCATCACACTGGGTGCCGTTATTTCCACTTCAGCTGACGGCAGAGGGTTCTCAAGTTTGTACAGTTTTTGTGCTGGTGAACCAGGACTCCCTGTTGGTGGGGTAACATTTTTATTTAAACACTTTTACACATTTTTTGATGATCATGAATACCTGGAGCTTTCTCCATAGGGCCATAAACAATTTGTAAAAGGGGTTTATCGATTTTAGGGATGTCAAGTTCTTTGGAAGCTTGCGGTTTTAAAAGTAGGACTATGCATTCCTCCTCTTTCATTTCCTCTACTGTTATTTCAGGGAATGGAACGCCGTCGCAAAAGTAATACAGTTCTTGGAGGATTTGATCGGTTATGGTAACCTAGGTTAAGGATTATAAAGGGGGGTCTACAATTAAACCAAGCACCTACCTTTTCCCTTTCCTTTATCATAAGTCCAGCTTCGTTTATCAAATCTCCCAGAACCTCCTGATATTTTCCCTTGGCGTGCGGGAAAATCAACACGCAACCAACGGCATCCATCATCTCCAAAATATTTTGGCTCTCCTTCTTCTTCCTCTCCATTTCCTCCTTCAACTTCTTGGCCTCTTCCCTTTCCTGCATCGCCAACTCCTTACCTTGATCCTCTTCCCAGCGTTCGATTTCAACGCCGAAACGTTCGGTCACGTCTACACCCTCGCGGTCCGAGAGACCTTGACGAAACGCTTCCTCTTTCTTCAGTTCGGCCAGTATAAGTCGCTGCAGTCTGGGGGAATCGGCGCCGAACATCAAGTTTGTTATTTTGCCGTTCTAAAAAGTGGTCTTAGAATGTTTTGTTGGGTTTAAAGAGTTACATTACGGATAGAAACATCCACGTTGGTTCGCTTTTTGTTCTGAATCGTTTTAACGGTTCTATTTCATCCGATTTTGCCTTAAAAAAGTCCAATATTGGTTGATTATTATTTAGTTATTGTATAGTATATTTACCATGGCTAAATGCAGCATATCTCCCCCAATCTCGAGCTTAATCTTCTTCAAAACAGCTGACATTGCTGAACAAGGCCCGCACCAGTCAGAGTAAATATCACAAACTACAAAACAATTCATTTCACAAAATAATCACAAAATTATATTACCTCACCTATTAAACCCTCCCTCTCCAATAACCTCTCCCATTCCTCCTCGGTTCCGACTTCTTGCTGAAGCTGAACAGCTGCGCCCTTTTTAGCCATTTTTCGCAGTCGAAAACGTCAACTTTGGCAACCGTCGGTATCGACAAAACAACATAATCGATATTTTACGTTAGACAATTAGGTTCAGCTCGTCCGGTATTGTTAGCGGGTCCAGTAGCATTTTGAAGGGGGTCGATTTCAACTTGACTTTATCCAAATCTCCGTTCAGTAAGTGCAGGAGGTTGTTGAGGAATATTGTCTCTTTGAGGTTTTTCTCCACCTTCGTTGCCTCCTGCATTATTTCGTGCACTCTGCAAGACTCACTCTAAAATATAAACATTAGGCACATCATATTTATAATAAACACATTACCGACCCTAAAACTGCTTTTGACGTCTCGTATCAGCACCTGCATGTCTTTGGCTTCATCGCATATACTTTGAATGCTCTTGTCCTCATCGCTGAGCCCCAAACTGCTCATAACCTCGTCTCTATTGAGGATGCTTAAATAGTTTGAGGCGTTGCTCAGATACACCGAACTCTCTTCGGCGTTGCTGGAAGAATTGCTGTGTATGCTGTTGCCCAGATCGCTGGTGTTGAGTTCGGTTATGTCGCTTATCTTGCAGTCGATGTCGTTGAGCACCAGCTCCATCATCAAGGACATGAGGTTTTCCTCCTTGGTGTTGTGGTAGTTTTCTATCTCCTGGTGCAGTTCGTTCTGGAAGTTCTTCGTGGGTTCGTCATTCAAGAAGAGTTTGAAGTTGCGGGTTTTTTGGTTTATAGGGCGGGTTTTAAAAACCTCCTCTTTCTTGAGGGTTTTGTATTTGGCGAATGAGATTACAGCTAGAAGCATTCTGCTTTCCACATTGCAAGGGTTAATTAGGTTCATTAATTCCTCCTTGCTGGGGATTTTGGAGTCTATGTCTTCAAAGTTGATGAAGTTGTTTGTTATGCCACTTCCTTCCAAACCAATACTTGTTGTGGTGGTGTTGGAATGTACCTTCGGAACACAGTTATGCATTATTATGGGTTGTTCTGGTGGATCAGGTTCTGTATCTGAATCTGTAGAGTCAAACAGCCTGTCTCTCACTAAGTTCTTCCGCATTAACTCTAGCTTTCTGTATTCCCGGTTGCGTTCCTCATAATTTGGTTGGGATTCGTCGACAATTATTTCGTCTAGATTCCAACCAAATCTGGTATCGTTCGGTTCATCAATGAACGTGCCATCGACTCTATATACCCTCATTGTTCTGTCTTCTTAAAACTGGAGCATTTTGAAACTCAATCTCAATAATATAATATAAAATATAATCCGGTTACGCAGGGTATTATCTTTTCTGCTCACCGTCTTATGGTTTCCTATTGTTAATCTGCAAAACTGAAACACAAGGATAATGTTACTCATAAAAACCGAATATAATGGACACAGTTTTGACTAATTCGATTATGCTTATAACTTTATCAAGGAAATCCAATTTCAGGTAATGATGAAATTACGATTTTGTAGGAAGGACAGTTCTACACAATAAAAAAAAATATTTATATTTTAACGTACAGGTGATAATTTAGTTTAAAATTTAACAATTTTTAAAGGGTAAATAATCAAAGAAGCAACTTTGTTTTATAAATTTGAGTATACCACGTTGATGTATTGATATTTGACTATTATAAGTATTGATATTTGACTATTATATATTAATATATATATTAACTTTTTTATAAAAATACTGTTGTATCTTTTATTAATAATTAAGTATAGCATAACACATAAATAACGTTTAATATACAGGGTGTTTCATGTACGTAGTCCGTTAGAAGTTTCTAGAGAATCGCGAAAGACATCTATTTAAAATTTTATTTAGTAAATTATTCGATTTAGACTTTTTTCCTAAATTTTTTTGTACAAAATAATACTTCCTGTTTTACCGGAAATGTCTTTAACTTTGTTATTTTAAACAGGACACCTCATATATTGAATTCTACATAAAATTCTGAGTAAAATGACTATACCATATATCAAATATTTTAATTAATTTTAAACAATGACAGATTAAGTGGTAACCATGGATACTGTCATATTAACATTTAGAATTTCACAGGTTTGTTGATACAAAATAGTATTGAAAATATTAGAAATTGTTAAATGTCTTCGAAATTTTAACAATCTGTAATAACCTATTTGATTATGTTAAAGCATAAAGGGTTTTACATTTATAATAAAAACGTTATTATTGTTTAAAGTTTGCCTAATTTCAAGTGGTTTTTCTCAAGCTATTTGTTAAAAACCTTTAAAAAATTAAATTATTTAAATAATGTTTTAATATTCCAAAAATTCCAATCCCATGTCATCAAACATAATAACAAAAAAATTAGAGGGTATTTTTGATTAGTAAAATTTTAACAAAAAAAATTAATATCTTGAAAACTATTGACTTTAGGTACAGTCTAAATCAAATTGTATATGTTATTAAAATTTCAAATCCATATTGTTTGCGTTTTTCCAGAAACAACCTGTATAGCATTATATTTAATATAAAAAAAATCAAAATAACCAATTATAAAAAAGCGAAAAACAACTGAATAAAAAACATACATACATCTAAATAGCCGATCGCAACATAAAAAATAATGTCTTTATTCTAATTTATTTATTGAAGATGCTTATCGAGTAAAAAATAAATTGAAGCTTGGTTGTGGAGCAAAAAATAAAATTAAAGTAGGTTATAATTTCTAACTTGCTGACACTGTCTATAATTATTATTTAGTTTATTCATTTTAATAAATTAGTGTTGTGAGTTTATAGTACACTTATAAATTGAAACGCAATCAGTCATTTGCAACTTATGTAGGTTAAAATCTAAGAAAAATAATATTATAAGTTTTATCTTAATTTCAAATCGATACGTTTGTAAATAAAAATGTTATTAAAAAATATCGAAATTTATTATTATTTTTAACACAGTAGAGTGACTTAAGGCCTGAAAACGAGAGGCCAATGGATGACTTTTTTTTTGAAAAAAATGCACCATTTGTTATATATTAATAATATATATTCAATTCTGGCATCACTTGTAAACAAATGTACAAAATTTGTTCGATAAATCAATTATGGGTTCAAAAGTTATCAATTTTGTGCGGTACAACTTACAACGAATATACAGAGTGTTCCAGTTTTAAGTAAATTTTTTTTTTACCTCTTGAAATATAAAAGAAAAATATTAAAATATGGTCTACCTAGTAAAAAGTTTTTACTAAAAACCACGTGGGGATTAAATTAAACACTACACGCCACAACAGATAAATTGTATCGATTTTAAACTTACCCAACACATGCACAAATTTTAAAACTAAACTACCTCTAACTACGTCTACATCAGTACTAAACTATTAAATATCTTACCTGAAGGTAAACTTCGATGTCGTACTTTTGAAGTTTCAAGAAATACTGAGCAAAAACTACCTGTTAGTGTCCAAGATCCCCACTAATCACTCACCTAACTACAAACAATAACATAGGAGACCCACTATCGACCTTTTCTGTGGAGGGGCGGGTCTATGTGCTAAAACAGTGACGGCTCGCCCAATGTTTAGTATTGCTTTTTGTAACCTTAAATTGTAGCCAAAACATATTATTTTTATAAATAGTGGAAAACTGCGTTACGCTTTTCACGGTATTTTCACAATGAGAATAAGGTTAATAGTAACACGCGTTTATTAATAACCGTTTATATACTAAAACTACACAAGCGTATCTAATAGATAAAATATAGTCATTGAATTTAAAAATAGTGTAATTTATTTTACATCAACATGATATAGGTAGGTTTGTATGGGGTTTCCAGAAATTTATATATTGGGTAAATATTTTGGTCTCTTGAATTAAATCAGCTTTTCGGATTCAATTCTTCTACAGCGCTCGTAAAGGTGTTCGAAGCCATCTGGGCATTGTCTAAAAAATACTGCAGATACTATACGCCGTATTTTCATTTTTGGTGTAAACATCCGAGGCATTCGGTTTTTAACTTACATTCTAGGCTGAACTTTTCTACACATCCCAAATATAACCAAATAACCTGGGTCATCAGGACATAACCTAAAATAAATATATATATAATTTACATAGTAAAAAAATTGGTTATGTTTACACTGCTGTATCTCCAAGTTTTCTGCAATACCCTTTCATTACTTCGTAGTTTGGTGGACACACACTTAAATTTATACAATAATTATTATAATATTAGATATAATATAGGTACATGCACTCAGAATTTTTTTGAATAAATATAACAAAAAAATGTCTTAATAAAATATTCGTCCAACAATTGCTTTTGTTACGGCAAAAAGATCATTTTTATAAAAATTATTTATAGCATTTGCATTAATTATAAAGTAAATTTACGTTATGTTTATAAAAATAACACTCTTCCAGATGCAGAAACGCATTGAAAAATTTAGTTATTATTATTTGTCCAAAAAACAGTTCATAGAAATTTTTGTAAATTTTACAAATCCCTTTTCGTTTAAAACAAAACTTTTTTTAAAATATTAATAAAATTTATGGAAATTTAACAACAAATTAATTGTTATTCAATAAACTATTTTCATTTTAACAATGGTCACATTTTCAACCTACAGTTGGGTGTTGGGTAATTTTTTTTAAATAATTGCAAGGCATTAAAACAAATTGTTTATTATAACAAAAAAATTAACTCATATTAGGTATTGAAAATAAAAAAATATGAACTCACTTTTTAAACAACAAATCAGCTTCGTTTTTAGAATAGACCTTAAATATTTATTTTAGAAAACGTCGAAATTTTAGTTATCTTAGTGATCTTTTTGATATTTTTATCATGCTAGATTTGACCACACTTAACTCGCACAAGTGAAATCAATAACAATAACACAGACTGTGGATTATAAAGTTATGTTCACCAAGGAGAGCGCTGGCCCTTTCCCCCCTCTTTTTAAGGGAAATAAAAATTTTGTTACCATTGCAAAACAATACCTAGTTAATATTAAAAAAGTTTTTATAGCAATAAAATGTTTTTGTTATTGTTCTTAACGTAAGCTATTAACATGGATTTTTCAACTGAAATAAAATTAATTTGAATTACAACGATAGTAATTTAAAAAAGACAAATATGCCATATTAAAATGAACAAATTTTACTATAACAAATGCGCATTACTTTATGTAAGCGCAATTCACACACGACTATAGATTTAACAAAAACATTTCAAGTTAAAAAAAGATTTAATATAAACATAAAGTATTTTTTATTGCCATGACAATATGATAACAACTATTACTTTGTTGGATGAATATTTTTTTATAATAGCTCAACATTGCTGCTTCATTATGGTAAATGAGAGTTTTATTGACAGTAAAAAAAGTTTATTCTGGAAATAAAAATAATCTCATTACTAGGTACCTTAGGTGGTACATTTTTTATAAAAAAATTTTAAACTTTTGTATTTACCAGTCTCCTGAAACCACTTTTTTCGTTTTCCCTCTAAAGGTGGCATAACTTATACCACAACTATAACCATTTGTATGATTAAAAATACACAAAGCTATTAAAAATGTTAAATATAATATTTTATATTTCATCTTTAATGTACTAAATAAGTTTGATTTAAAATTATTGCAATTGATTTTGTTATCAATGTTTACAAAATAAATTATGTCAAATCTAAGAATAATTTCATTTTTAATTAAATAATAAAACACAAAATAAATGTTCCACACTTTTATTAAATTTTCTGCTACAACTTCAAATTTTTTAATTTCATTTCACCCATTGGTTTCCTGAAAAGAAAACTATTTTAATAACGTGATAAAAAATATTCTTTAATAACGACTATTTAAAAAAATAACTTACAGTTTTGACAGTTTGCCTACATCTACCCAATATAAAAGTTTGACCCTGCTTGCAATTTTTCGCTGTATTTATGAAGGAAAATTTTTGAACGCCCGTTTGGTTACAAATTACCAATGTTAACATTATAAATATCAAGAAGAGTGATTTAAACATTTTAACAGTTTTAATGCAAACTATAATACACCCGGTCAGGAAATGTTATATTGGTTTACTTTGATAAGAGATTTATACTGAGTGTTACTATATAAAATGTTGACTTACATATGCTGGGAATAAGTTTTCGACATTTTCCAAATTTGTAAATATACCCGTGATCGCAGTTGTCTTTGATATAGTTTGTTAGTGAATATGGTGTTGTGTCAACTACACTTTCAGTGAAAACTACATCATCACAGCAAATACTTAAAATCATTGTGAAAAAAATCAACAATACTAATTTTAACATTTTTAACATTAACGCGTTGTAACATACTGACATTGAATTAAATTCAATGGGGTTATAAAGGTTAAAAATTATCATTTTGTGAAAACAACACTTACAAATTAACTTTTCGGTATGCAACTGGTAAATTTTCTTTTATACCCAGGCGGACATTTGGGTATAACGTACATGGGTTGACTTTCAACCACTAACTCCATATCCGCTATAGTTTGGTTTTCAATGAAAGAAAATTGAAGCAATATTATTACGAAGCCTAAAAGTATAGGCACTAAGTGTTTTAGTAACATTCTTAGTTAAATATGTCTCGATAGATACTGTTTTGATATTCTTAGTTATGTAGTTGTTGTGCATCCACAATTTTTTAACTTAGTTTTGTAGATAGTGCGTCCAAGAGATAATACAGGGTGTTATGTAATTAATGCAATACATTTTTGGGTCCATTTAATGTCGTCAATTTTTCAGGTACCACTGTATTCACCAGATATGTTCCCCATTGATTTTTTCCCGTATCTATTATACACTCACACGCAAAATAATCAATCCACACAAATTTTCGATGAATTTCAATCGCAAATAACTTTTTTATTTGATGTCGGATTTAAACGAATATTAAAGAATATTGTAGATAAATTAATGGACAATCGCTCACATTTTAAAAAATACTAAAAAATAGACGTAAGTTTATAATATACAGGTTTAAACAAAAAGATGTTTTTTACCATTAGTTTAAGACACTCTGTAGAGTGGCAAAACCTTATATTGTTCTAAATTAAGCTTTATTTATCAAGTCACATCTATAGATGTATGATATATTCTTAACTGTTTTGTTTTTGGTTAACCTCGATATATTTATTTTTGTGGAAAATATGACCTTTTTAAAAAAACATTGCAATTTCCAATTTTTTCTGTATGAAGAACTAAGGTTGCTATGGTCCATCCATAGGCTATGGAGAATGACAGTGACAGTTTTGTTGAATCATTCCATACTTGGACATGTCATACACGGCTTTCAAAAGCTATCAAATTGTTTTTTGCAGATTAATGTTTAAATTTTGAGGTGTCTTCTCACTTTAAAAATGGATATGTCTCCGACTGATGTTGCCAGAGCCAATAATTTAATCCAGGATGGACGGTCAACGTATTACGTGGCAAGTGTTTTAAACGTCACAAGAAGTAAAGTACAAAGGGCAACATCAGTCGAAGACATTTTTAAAAGTAAGAAGACACCTCAAAATTAACACATTAATTTACAAAAAACAATTTGATAGCTTTTGAAAGCTGGACCACAGCAACCTTAGTTCTTCATACAGGAAAAATATTGAAAATTGCAATGTTTTTTTAAAAAAATCCATATTTTCCACAAAAATAAATATATCAAGGTGAACCAAAAACAAAACTGTTAAAAATGGATGTGACTTGATAAATAAAACTTAATTTAGAACAATATACGGTTTTGCCACTCTACAGAGTGTCGTAAACTTATGGTAAAAAACATCTTTTTGTTTAAACCTGTATATTATAAACGTACGTCTATTTTTTAGTAATTTTTTAAAATGTGAGCGATTGTCCATTAATTGATCTACAATATTCTTTTATATTCGTTTAAATCCGACATCAAATAAAAAAGTTATTTGCGATTGAAATTCATCGAAAATTTGTGTGGATCGATTATTTTGCATGTGAGTGTAATATATTGGTTTAAGACTTTAAGACTACTTACTATCATTAAAACTCTTCTCTGCACTTTCCATTTTGGTAAAGTTGACCTGGTGGACAACTCGGTGATATATGGACTATGGAATGTATAGTGAATAACGATTTTATTTTATCCAAATTCGGTTTGGTTTTATTGCAATTATTTTGAGATAAATCTGTAGTATTTTGAGATACCTCTGTATGGTTTTCAGAGAAAACCACAGAGATAGCACTAAGTAACAAAATAAACTTCATTCTAACACAGATTTTGGAACAATGATCATTTTTTAAGATGAATATTAAGGAATTTTTATTGCTGTTAGCCTTGGGTATTTTTTTTAATTACGAGAGTTGGGTAATGGCTAGGTAATTATTAGGAATTATTGTAATCAAAATCTTGTTCAATCTGTTATAAACATCTCTATACAGGGTATCCCAAAAATTGGTGTATGATCTAGAGACACCCAGAAAACAAAATAAAAAAATCTACACAGTTAAATTTTTTTGTAAAATTACCACATTTTTACTAAGCAGTTGCATAGTAATTTAGTATAGTAATTTAAAATTTTGTAAAATTTCTATACATATTCAGAATTTAATTTTACTAAAATAATTTGCTATTTGAATTACAATAATTGTTCATTTTATACAACTTCTGTTTGCATTTTTACTATAGTAATATATATATATATATCATTTTAATCATGTACACTAATAAATTTTTTTGTAAAATTACAATTGTTTTGCAAAACAAAGGATGAGTAAAATTACAAATCAGTGTATACCAATACAAAATTATAATACAATTTGAGTAATCTTCCAAGACATGTTGGGAAATCAACTAAAATTAGTTTTATTTTACAATCTATATGTAAAAAATCCTAAACGCATTGTAATTTTACCAAACAGTTTGACAGTTTCTAATAAAAAGCATCTCAGATTTACAAACGTTGTTTGTAATTTGATTTGCTATAATGTTATGTAAATGCATATTGCGGCAATCACGTGATGTTACATCTCGCCTCGGTTGACTTAGGTGGACAGTATATAAGCTCACGTGTCTTTCGTTTTTGGTGTGTTCCAATACACCAAATTGCCCGACATTGATAAGACCCAAAATAGGCATATCTGTCTAGCTGTCTGTCGGTATTTGAAGTTGGTGGAACGCACTTAAAACAACTCTGACGAGACAATTTTTTTTAAATCTTTACAGTAATGGGTCAAGAAAGTTTCTTGAAGAAACTAAGTTTTTTTTAGTGGTATAATTACAATACCATCATTCGTAAATTACTAAATATTTTTAGTGTAATTTGTTGTACAATATTTGTATTGTAATATTGCGAAACGAATTTTCTTCAGTTCAGTAAAATTGTAAAATATATTTTTTAATTTTCTTAAACTGAGTTGAAATGAATTGTATAGTATAATTACAATACACCATTTTAAAATTACTAAACATATTTAGTATTTTTTTTAGCAAAATTACAATTTTAACAAACGTTTTATAATTTTCCCAAATTGAGTTGTAATGAATCGTGTAGTGAATTTACAAAACTTAGTTCTATTATTACTATATTGTGGTTGGAGATGTAAAAAAACGGTTTTTTTTTCAGATGTGAAAAAAAACTAGAAAAAAACGGTTTTTTTTTGTTTTTTTTTCAAATGAGTAAAATGTAGAATATATTATATTTTTCAATATTGAAAATTTTGAGCAAGACAAAAAATTTTTTTTGCGATTTTTCGGATAGCTGTATTTTTGTTAAAAATGGTCGTATTGGAGCCGTAAAAAAAAGCAATTTGAAACTTGAAGTTTATAGTTTTGAGATTTTTAGATGAAAAACGTGCAACGCTCAATTCTAACGAATACCGTAATAAAAAAATCGATTTTTTTTTGCTTTCTTTTTTGGTCCACGGAATGTTCGGGACTTAACCACCAATGAATGTTCTACAAGAATTTTCTATTGTTTTTTGAAAAAAAAAATTCCATACATAAATTTGAAAAATCATGAAAAAAGTGCTTTTGGTAGCTTTTTGAAAAACCAAGCGCTGAATCAAAAATATTATATGTAGTTACTTTTTTAGGACCAAATCAAATCGATGGTTGTAATTGTCATTTAGTGGCTAATGGAAACATAAAAAATTAGGAAAATGGGACTAATCTTGAAAAAAACCTAAAATGTGAAAAAAACCATTTAAAAAAAAACAGTCGCATCTCTAATTGTGGTGCGTATATTTTCAAGTTTAAAAAGTCAATGTTTACGCGAGTTTGGCACGCCACTGTTCAGTGTGAAAATTAAATTAAAACTGAACCCAACCCCGCCATCTGACAGTTACTTTTAAACCCTTTTAAGGTGGTTCTTTTTTTAAACTTCAAGCTTCCATTTTTTGTGCAAAGATGGCTCCGGTGGTGGCGCCGCGACGCCTTTAAGGACTCGGCGTCGCCATCGATTTTACGAGTGGTGGGATGCGCGAAGCGTCGAATCGCCGACCTACACGATACGTCCGAGCGTAGTAATAGTAGCACATATCCTACATAGTTCGGGCACGACTCGTTCCTCTACATATTTTTATTATATACATATATATATGTATGTATATATATATTATAAATAAACGCGTTCGTAATGTTTGAATTCCGCCTAAATTCAGTGGCGTATAGTGCTAGGTTATGAAGTGTGCATCAAGTTAAACGATGAGTTTGAAAACTTAGCCTTTGCTGAGTGCTATGACGTTTAGGTACAGGGGCCCCGGGCCCCCCCCTTGGATTTTTGTTTTTTACGTATTTTGTGCGCTGGTGCAATTGTTTAATAGCTTTGCCGATGCCGAAAAGAGCAAATATTGTAAGTAATAAATCTTTGTTTTTTACAAATTTTATAAGATTCTATAAATAAAGCTTTCAAATGGAGTTATATAAATATATTATATAAAATATTTATAGAATTTGCATATTTGTATACGTTATATAATATTTGTTTATGCCAGCGTTTGTAATGAATATTTTAATAGTATAACATCTAACGTCACTTAATACACGAGTTTAATCTGTCAGACGGGTTTAACCTCACTTTTTCACAATCTGACATCTGTCAAACGGGTTTTAACCTAACTTTTTTCTTCAATATTTTCTAAAATCATCTAAACGGAAGCACATAAAATCCGAACAAATCTCCAAAATAGTGTTGAAATGCAAATTTAAAAATTTAAATGCTGGTCTCTTGCGAATTTCGCAGGAAAAATGTAGCTAACGATCTGCGAGAAAATCGCCTTATAAGTAGTCGAGAAAACTCTCTCGCGGTTGCAAAACTTTTGATAGCCACTTAAAAACAAAGATTAATTTCCCAACAATTGTAATCCTTTCTACGTGGGAAGAATTTTTATGCGTGACTCCCTACGCTCGAAAAAAAAATCCATTTTTAAGCAACAAAACCAAAACAGCTTTGTATGTATACGTAAACACGGTCTATTCTCATTTGCACACTCCTCGGACTCAATTTTGTTAAAAAAAACACAAATTTTCGCCGTGTTGTTTCTTATGTTGAAAGTGATTTTGGTGGAAAAGTTGGTATGGATATTGTCAATCAAGGTACACACAATTTAATACCTTTTTATATTTTTATTGTATTATAAGTGACTACTTTGTAATTTTTTTATAAATTAATTTTTGAATATATGTATATGGGTGATTCTACAAAAGTTGGACAACTTGATGTCATCAGTCAATAGAGTAGATATTTTAATATTTTTTGTAAATATTTTAGTATATTACAAAACATCCAGGTTTTTTTAACTTGTCCACCCAATTTTAATATATTTTTTCAAAAGCACGTTTGTAGAAAAACATAATAAATATTCAAAACAACCTTGGCGTGTCACAACTCCTGAATCAAATATTTGAGTGATTTTATTTTAAAATATATTCAATTTATCTTAAATTTTTCAATTTCACTACAAACTATAAAACATTAAATAATGTATTTTTCATATTTTATCATAGATTCGAATAATAGCAATTTAAAAAAAATGATAATCTTTGTACTCACTTTTACCCGTCAGTTCTGTGTCCAATGTTAAAAGTTTAAACGTCCTCGTTTTTACTTAAGTGTTGGTAAAAAATTACCTACAGAGCCCGCCCTTTGCACGACAGTCATCTTGAAAACAATGCAAGCGGCGAAGTTGTGGTGAATGCACGTATAGTTCCAGTCAAAATTTCAGTACTGTGGTGAGTAGTTATTTTTTAACGTATATAAATAATATATATATATATTTCATTGTAATTTATATAAGGCTATATGTGATTTGTTGATAAGTAGCATCCACTAATAAAAAATATCAGTAAAATACTTAATTTCGAATTATAATCTCAAATTTTTATCCCATTCATCAGTACCGTGTCGTCAGTTCCATGTTCGATGTTTCGGTTATTTTTTTCTCGCAAACTTTAATTTAAATTCTGTTTGCGCAGAACTTGTTTATTTAATGTCATTATAAACTCATATAAATTTGGTGTGGGTCCCATATCTAATAATTGAGATATCGGTATACCCAAAATCCACCAGCCGCCACTGATGTGTGGTATTATTTGATTTTAAGATATTTAATGTATAAAATGCTCAGAGCTGCAATAAATCTTATATTTTCCAATAAATTATGTATTTAATTAGTACCCTGGTATACTCGTCACTTCCCTTGCATTCAAATTTAGAAAACACAGATATTTCGGAAACTGTTTTTAAAAAACTGCTTTTCAACCGACGTAATAATTACCTAGACAAAAAAGGAGCCCTACGACAAGCAGAATTAATGCCATTTTCACATTTTTCGCGTATTTTTCACGAAAATCCCGTTATGTACTTTGTTTTTATGGGCCGTGGGGAATTGTTATTGGAGCCAAATCGCGCAGGGACGGATTAGGAAGACTTTAAATGTCAAATTCTGAAGACGATATATAAAAAAAATAATTGTTTTTTCTAGTTATAAAGGATTGTTTATTATTATTATTCAATCTTTTATAGGTATGTTGTTATTTGGCCTATATCTTGCTGTATATTTGTTACACGTCAAAATATCATATATTAAAGTTGTAGGTCTTTAAATTCTCTACAAAAAAGATTAAATATATTTTTTTCGTAAAACAAACCATTAAGAAGTTAACGAGTGGTCTAAAACTATCCTGGTCATGGCACCAATATGTCCTTGAGAACTTCAAGCTGCGATATATCCGTAACGGTTAATTTTACTTTAAAATACATTTTAACTTTTTTGTAGATAATTAAAAAATCTACAATTTTTATATATAATATTTTTATGTAGGACCAATATTAAGCTTGATATTTGTTCCTTCTTTACAAGTTAAAAAATGCCCATAAAACTTCTTTGGGGTACAGCCCTGCAAATGGCCGGGTCAAATATCGTTAATCCAGCATTATACATGCTTGCCTAAAAATTCCTTCGCATTCACGTTGACGGTTATTACCAGCCGAGATTTCCATATTTCTGAAAAATGATGCTCCGTATCTGGGGGGTTAAAACTAACCCTTACGCCCTCGAGCCTCATAAATTAGTATGCAAAAATCCTTTTATGCATATTTTCCACGTCGGAATTTCTACCTTCGAATTCCAGACGCACCAAGCACATTCTGTGGGCCTTTGATGCTCGGAAGGGAAACTTTCTTTGGTCTGCAAGAAATTTTCCTAATGGGAGACTTTGTTTATTTTAGCCGGAAAACTTGAGACGGTATTTGCTTTTTTACTTTTGACATTGTAAATTTAATGAATGAATGTTTCTTATATAACTTTTACAACCCAATGCAGAACAACCACCATTGTATTTTAATATTGAAACGTTTTACTTGCATTGCACGACAATGAAAAAACCCACAAGCAACTGCCAACTTTTACGATCTTTTCCTTACATTTTTGATGATGATTCTTTTGCGGTTTACATCCTTTACTCGACTAAATAATCAATGGGATGCAAATATTCGAGGATTCGAAATAAACTTGTTGGTTTAGTTGAAGTAGCGAGCTGATTACCGCAGAACTGACCCGAAACTTTCTCTATTTCCGGTTTTAGAAACTAGCTATGTTGCCGATACATATATCAAGATGACGACTAGATTAGCACTAATAGATCCTGGTAATTAGATGGAGCACTCTTAATTTAAAATCAATACTATTTTTTGATTTTGATGTTAGCTCCAATCATATCTGTTCTGTTTTAAAATGAAATTAGCGACGAGAGAAAATAACTTTGGAAGTAAATTTGTCTTTTTTCGGGCGACAGTTAATTTTGGTACGTTGTTAGCCCGGCATCAACTTTAAGCGACCGACAAGGCTTTAATTAAAATTTTTAATTATTCTGCAGGTTGTTGATAAAACGCGAGATATTAAAGTAAAGGAGGGGCGCACCTAATAGATAAAATTGACGACGTTAATATGCAAAAGGTACTCAAATTCCTGCAAGGCAATTTTGATATTTAATTAAGGTACGGTTTTTTTTCAGAATGGCGCCCGCTCAGCAGCATTCCACGGTTATTGCAAAACTTTGCACCTCTAATTTCATATAATGTCATGTTCTAAAGACGTTTTATTTCCCTAAAAAATGCCTATTTTAGATAGAATAATTATTTTTTCCTGGTATCTTGATTTTTGCCTATATCCTGCTGTATATTAGTCACACGTCAAAATATCATATATAAAAGTTGTATGTCTTTAAATTCTCTATAAAAAAGGTTAAATACATTTTTTTCGTATCACGCACCATTAGGAGGTCTAAATCTATCCTGGTCATGGCACCAATATTTCTCCAGAACTTCAAACTGCGATATATCAGTAACGGTTAATTTTGCGTAAAAATGCATTAAAACTTTTTTGTAGATAATTAAGAGATCTACAATTTTTATATATAATATTTTTATGTACGACCAATATTATTCTTTCAAAATAACGATACGATGCGATACGAAGTGTACTCGAAAAGTTTGACCTAAAAAGGGTTATCAAATAAAGTACGTCGGGGTATAATAAATAAAGTCTGAAATCGACAGAACTAATCCAAGTTAGAGCGGAATAGTGGAAAGTTTTCCTTTATGAATAGGTAAACTAATTTCTTGAAGGCACGAAAGCCAATCGATAGATGGATTCCTAATCGAAACCTAATCTATTAACTTGCTACCGAGTTTGTGTGCTTGCAAACTTGCTTCCGACAAACTAAAAAGTCAATTCCAATTGTTGTTTGTTTAACAAACTCGAGCAAACAACAAAAAATTGCCGAGCAGTGTAACGGACCGGAAATACATTTTATTGGCAGACTTAAATAGCGCGGGCCTGCCTTTGAAACATACAACTAATAGTCTTTGAAGACCGGTTAATCGATAAAACTGATGTTCCTTTTTTTCTTCGTCTCGAGCCGCCGCGTCGAGATTTTACCGCCTCCTGGCAGACCGTGACCGATCGCCGCCCCTTCAACTATCTATCACTCCGAAAAAAAAAAAAAAAACTACACAGGAAATATAGATGGGAAGAAATTTATTGCTGTCTGTATTTGCAATATTTTGGTCTTATTGTTTTTTTTTTTAATTTCTTAAACTCGTTGGGATATAATTTATCCGGTATGAAAAATGGAACTTCACAAGAGAAAGAGTCTAATTTATTTTAAGCTTTCTACCATTTAATCCTTTGTCCGGTACGTATGAATAAAGGACGGCACAATGAAATCTATTTTTCCTTTTATAATTATAATGGGATCAATTCATTGTTTAAATTAATTTATGATCTTTTGAAAATTACCTCAAGGTAGCAAAAGTATATCTTCAAAAGATTAAAAGTAGTAGTGAATATT